CCCCCCACCCCCCTCTCCATCTCACCCAATGACAGATAGTGATATTGCATTGTGGAAACAGATCCAGGGGTAAATATATTCCTACAATGTAATGGCAGCATGTAATGGCAACCTATTTTTTTAAAAAGGTTTTTACAAGCAAGAAAACACGTTAAGGTGACGTTACAAACTTTGCCATGCTTGTTGGACATGCAGTGGAGGTGAAGCACAGAGGTCAGAAGGCATAGTGATGGGCAGCTGCTGGGTTTACGCAAGGTTCTGGAAACGTCTGTGAGCAAAGTTTGGTACCAAATCCGTAATGTATCTTTCTACAGACAACATGTACAACCGAGCATCTTTCTAAAAACCAACCCACCTCCTAAGGATCTTCCTAAAAATGCAATGGCTGAAGAAAAACTTTAAAGGTCCTAAGCAAGTAAAGGATGGAATAAACTAGCATTAACTTACATGCTATTCTCCTCATGTACTGTGTAAGGGTGGTAGATATAATGCTTTAGAAAATACAATACTAGTGATGTTTGATTGTCTGAGATACAAGAAATAGAAAAGTAATTGGCTGTCTGTGCTGACAAGAGGCTACAGGTTGTAGGAAGTGGCGAGGCAAGAGAAGCAAAAGCACATATCTGGCTAGAACAGATCACGAGTCAGGGTGGGATATGAACCAGGAAGGCTCCAGATAAGTTTTTTTTTCTTTTTTTTTTCTTTTTTAAAAACAGCAGGATCCCTCTTTAGTGTTTTGTTGGAGAAAAGAACGCAAGGTCCGAGGAATCACTGGGTAGACACAACAACATGCCTTATTCATTTCATTACAGAAAAACACCACCTCTGGAAAGAGATAAAATGATAGACTATTTTTTCTTCTTCTTCTTCTTCTTTTTTTTTAAAAACACAGCTCCAGTCTTTGTCTTAATGATCCAGCTTTGTCCTTAAGCATTAAGTTGATGTATTATTGAATGTTGCTCAAGATTGCCAACCCATCTGAAAACAGTATTTGGTTAAACTGCTCCCCCTTTTTCCTGTTGGGAAAAAAAAAAAAAAAAAGTCTGAAACAGCATTAGGCGTGTCAGGTTACATTTGTTTTACAGATACTAATGTCCTTTGTTTCCAGCTCGTATTTGCTAGAAGAAAGGTGAGTGATGTCCATATCCTCCTTTTCCTTGGCTATGCCGCTCTGTTTAAATCAACAGAAACAAGCCAAACATTTCCCCCATCCTTAGAGCCATAACTTATATTATCTCAGTCTTTTGCTTTCTGTCCGTGGTTGTAAGGACTGCAGCTGTGCGGGGAACACGAGCGGGAGGATGATCAGGATTCTGCAGGAGGGTCAACATCCTCTTCGACAGGTTTTGGTAGCTTTGTCAGGATTGCCTCTGCTTCCTCATACATCTGGGGAAAAAAAGGGGGGGAAATGATTTAACATGTGGAATAGTAAAGAGTTTCAGAGAAGGTAGAGGATGGGTGGTATCATCTCTTACTGGCATAAATTGCACATCCTGGAAGAGTTCTTGTATGAAACGTCGTGAGGTCAGGCGAAACATACAGTGGGCTAAGAGGTGGGAGACCTCGGAGTACAGGCAAATGTCATCGAATGCATATGGAAACTTCTCCTTTATCCTGAAGAGAGGAGAAATTAAACAGACCTTTAAGTGATTGCCTTTAAATGTATCAAATGATGCCATTCAAAAAGTCTATTAATTATATTTTGTAAGTAAGAAAGTGAGCTTTACGTCAGTAGTCCTGTTTCGTGGCCTTTGGTTCCTACAGAGGAGCTGAGGTTGATGATGAGCCGGAGCACTTCCTTCCTCAGCAAGACTCGAGAGGCAGGGCCGTCCTCTGATATCGCTTTGCCACCTAAAGGACACAATGAATAAATGTCTAAGATTAACAGTATTAAATGCAGTAAATATTACCTTACAAATACAAACACTTGTCTTTTCTCGTTGCTTCCTTATTTCATCTTTGTCTTATTCCTCGTCATTGTGTTATAATTCCATAACTGGCTCCAGCCAAAAATGTTTCAGCCATTTCAGGTAGATTTCATTACTAGAATTTAATACTAGACGTGTCCTCCATCTTCCTGCCTGTGACCCAGATATCAATCTTAGCGCGCCATCTTAAAGGATGCCTCAGCTCTGAAAATACATCTCAAGGAGAGAGGAGGGCTTGTCAGAGGAGCTATGAGCAAGGATGCACTGGAGTATCCTTGCTGTATCCTGCACCCATGACACAAGATGCCAGAAGAGTATATATAGTACGTATCAGTTAATTACAACATCTTCTCTCTGTATTTATATGATCCTCTTTTGTGTGTCACGACTCTTATATATTTCATGATGTTTGTGTTAAATAAAAAGAATTTAATCTATTTCATCCGTACATTTTTGTCACATTATGCCAAGCTGTGAACTGACTAGTAAATAAATATATACTTTAAGCTGCCATGAAGCCTACACTCCTTTCTCTATGTGTCTGTTTTTGCTTCCTCTGCTGGCGTCTCTAGTGAGAGAGACTAAACCGCAAGAACAGCAGTTGAGGAGAGGAACTAAGAATGTACAAACTGAGAAATGAGAAGAGGAGGCTGTCAAGGTACGATGAGCTGCTTTTTTGCTTTTGGCCTTTCTTTGTTATTTGGTCTACAATGAGATTTGTTTACTGCAGAGAAACAGTGTGGTGCTCACAAGCTGCTTTTTTCATACTGAAATCAAACATCATGGACTGTTTAGGCTAGAAATTTGGATTCTGATTTTGAAGCATGTTTTGAGTCATTTCTTATTGTTTCTGATGCCTATCTCAGAGAGGAAAAATAAGTTTTAATCAACAAGACTTACACCTTGAGAGTCCAGAGAGACAGACAGAGGTAAACAGAGGGGCATATGACATGCAACAAAGGTCCCCTGGCTGGGAACTGAACCATGGATGTTGTGGATATGTGATAATATGCCTTGACTATGGATCACCAGACACTCCAAAGGAAAGT